TGACAAAAAAAAGATTATGGACCCTGTTGGTAGTACTAAGGTAAATAACTAGGGAACATATGCATAAAAAATATCTAACAAACATATATATATATATATATATATAACTTCACAGCAAAAGTTCACATTTTCTTTAAAATGTATTTCCAATAATACCTGTTCTCACACTTCAGCTATTACTTGACTACCAGGGTTTCTTCCTTTCCCCAACTAAGCATTGGACTGACTTTTTTTTTGCTTACTCCAGTCTTTGATATGATAGGAATGATCCTGAGAAAAGAGGTCAAGGTTTGAAAACAAGAAGCCATGCACCAAGTTCCTCCTTGATGAGAAACACAAGACACCACCATGGAATTGGCAGAGTGAAGCCTGATGATTTTCCCTTTAATAAGTCCAGACCATGAGGCATCGTCTCTTGAAGAGCAAGAAGGACTAAAACGTTGTGTAGAGAAGTATTTTCATCCATGCATAGACCCTGGAATTCCTGACTGTTGTTATATGCATCCTATCCCTGAAGATTGATCCTGACTAAGCAAACTGGGAAATCCAGTGAATTGATGTTTATGATCCCTTGGTCACATAGAGACTATTAAAAGGATCTCTTGTACTCTTTTCCCAAAACATGAGGAACTTGAGTGATGCCCACATTCCCCAAAGAAAAAGAACCATTCATGCAGCGCGAGAAGGAGAGGTGAGTAAGAGTCGGGCTTTCTGTTCCATAGCATGGAGCCAGATAGGAGTCTGCTGAGCCCGACTGAGAAACACAATGAAAAAATAAAACTCAGACTGATGACATATTGAATTGGAGCAAGAATAGATGCCTCAGCTCTGAGAATGAAGCCTGCCTTCATTGTTTCTGAAAGTTGTCTATGGAATAGTGTGTGCACAATGCTAGAGAATGGAGGTGATGAGAAAAAAAACTTATACTATTTTGCAGAACCCACGTGTTGCCGATTCTAGTTCGAAGGTAAAAACCTTGAACTGCAGTACCTGACCCTTGTCCACAAAAAATGCCAATAGTGGTGGGATGCCATAATTATGGCAATGTACAGATAGGATCTGGCTACAACAAACTTTGACATCCAAAATCACAGTAGAAAATGACAACTCAGATTGAAGTATGAGTAACTTCGAGAATCTAGGCATTAATATAGACAAGAAAGATCAATGACTGGACACCAATCTCCTGTCTTCTTACACCCAACAACCAATAGGAATAAAACTTTGGAAGAACCAGCACGACACTCTCACTACCCCTAGACCAACCAAACTCTAATAGCCCTAGAACTAAATTCCAAATCCCGAGGATCTGCTAGAGATGGAAACCTTACAGGTTGGATGGATAATAGTGGTGAAGATGTGAACTGAATGACTAACTAATTCTGACTCAGAGACCCGTAATGTGCATGGATCTGTGGTTATGGTTACCAAACATCCAGACAATCTCAGAGCATAACCCCCACAGCCCCGGTAGGTATACAATAATCACCAACACCACTGGCAGCATTCCGACCGAGCAGCAGAACCCTTGGATATGGACAGAATCTATTCTGGGTACCAATGTACTGAGGGGCTGATGTTGGGGGTTGGGACCCTCAAATAGGTGTGGAACTATGACCCTTGTAGGAACTGAGGAAAGTCAAGAGACCAATGACAACAGGGATGATTGTAGAAGCCCACAATTGAACCAATGTTCATGATAACAAGGGTTCCAGCTGGTCATCAATAATATTGGTGATCCTGAGTCTTCAAACAAAGTGTCAGGAAAACAAAACATTGGATTTTAGAGTTATAATTCTGTAGACTTACCTGTCCCACCAGGGGACATTGATCTATTCTGGTTAATTACAAATTCTGCCTTAGAACCCCTAATTTTGACGAGAAGATGTAATATTTGCAAGTCAAAATATGCTTCCACATGGTGTTGGTAGGCTAAATCACGTAGTTCCTACAAGCGTTACAGATAAGGCCTAACTATCCCTTCACTGAGAAGTAAAACTTCCTGCATGAACCACAATGTTCATGGTTGGAGAGAAAACTAAATATTCACTCCCAGATCTTTCAGCCTTCAAGTAAGATGCAGACTCCAAAGCAAATGGGGAAAGACCCAAAACATCACACTATTGATGAACCAACTGAAGAAAACAAATCAGAGGCAGCTTATCCCACAGTAGCCTCCTTTTTTATTTCATTTAAAGACTGTGTTTATTACCATTGTTTGGAACAACATTTAGTCAGTTAAGTTTGCTTGGTTAGAACAAAGCAATGTTGGGTTAGCTGCTGTGTCCACTATAAGGAATCGAACCATGGATTAGAGTGTTGTGAGTCTGTAAAATTACCACTGTGAAGCCAACGGACTAAAAGAAGGTGCAGGAATTACAGCCTCAGAGCACCATGAAGGAACACCACCAAAATAAATATATATCTCCATCTCACTATGAATAAGATTTTTCCTCCGTATCAGAAATAATAATCCAGGAATCCCTACTGCAAATCAGCTTGCCAATCAAATAAAACTTTCTTCTTTTTTTTTTTAAACAAAAATCACCTACATAACATGGAGAATGCTCAAAGGAACCCCAAACAACTGTAGCACTGAGGAAACCCATTAGTGATGCTTTGTCAAGAAAAAGTGATAACATTACCTGAATGAGGTGCTTATATACAGTACCAGGATAAAGGGTGCACCAATTTAGGTGGAGAGTGTCAAGAGACAAATATTGTCAAGGACAATTAAGTATGGTATAAAAGAATGAAGCAAACAAGAAAAAATCAGACCAAGATGGGACTGATGCTTAGATGGGCAAAGGAAGAAACTCTGGCAGTCAAGAAATAGCTATCGTGTGAAAGGAGGTGTGTTTTGGAAGAAATTTAAAATTTTCTTTAATGACAAACACTTATTAACTGCTATCAACTTCAAGATATGGGACCAAAAAAGTGTAAGATTAAAACTCATAACATTTAGAAATCAGATAATGCATAAACCTTGGCATAAATTAAGCAAAAAACACTCCTGAAGACCAAATAGTCCTGAACTTAGTGATGATAAAGCTAAAATCTTTTGCCTGTATACATATATATATATATATAGTAGAGAGAGAGAGAGAGAGATATATATAAGAGAAATTGGCTTGAATGTAATCTTAGTTATGGATATTATCAATCACTGAAATATATATAGGGCAGTGATGATAATTTATAAGGATCAAACCACACTATTTGGCTGTTAACTGTATAACTTGTAAAAATAGACACATAAAACTAGTGTTAGATCTAATTGGAAATAAAAACAGTCTTAAACACATATTTAATGACTGCTTTCCTATTTCATAATTTTATTTATACTTCTATAAATATTAATTTGCTGCTGGCTTAGTATGTATAATTCAAACTAACTTAAGTCTCCAAAACTGACCAAGCTCTTGAGTAACTATTGGAATTCATAACTAATTAAATCTCCCAAACTGAACAACCTCTTGAGAAAAATTATTGAAATTCATAACTAATTAAATCTCCAAACTAACCTTGAGAGAAATTATTGAAATTCATACTTAATTAAATCTCCTAAATTGATAAGCTCCTTCTGAGAAAACTAACCTCTTGAGAAATTATTGGAATTCATACTTAATTAAATCTCCAAAATTGATAAGCTCCTTCTGAGAAAACTAACCTCTTGAGAAATTATTAGAATATTTGCAAACTTAAATCTCCAAAATTGATAAGCTCCTTCTGAGAAAACTAACCTCTTGAGAAATTATTAGAATATTTGCAAACTTAAATCTCCAAAACTGACCAACCTCTCGAGGGAAAATATTGGAATGAAGACTATAACATTGTTTATAATAAGGGTACCAAACTGATGATTTGATGAAATATAATAACTTATCTCATCTCTACATGCTTTTAGTCCTCTGACTGTTCTATACTGTAAATGTACATTATGTTATGACTTTGATTCACTATTACTACAGTTTTAGTTTTTAAGATATACTGTACTAACTACCTTAAACTTGATTTTTATATAAATTGTTAATCTAGTCTTCTCTGAAGTATATCTTATTTTAATTCACTTATATTTAAAAGTTCAGTTTGCATTCAAACGTAGTTATTACACACTGTTTTGTGGTGAAACAGTATACACTTTAAATCAGATCTTACATTCCATTTTTACTAGATATAACTATGTTGCTGCAAATACAGTGATGATGTGTGTGTGTTTAGTTATAGCAAAGCCACATCAAGCTATCTGCCATGTCCACCAAGGGGAATCAAACCCCTGATTTTAGAGTTGTAAATCCAAAGACTTACCACTGTGTCACCGGGGAACGTACAATGTCAAAACAAAGTATTGAAAAAATCTTATGTATTGCTCTAACACAAGTTTCTACTAAATGTAAGTCGATTTCACATTCAATGGACAATTTCTAATGAACAAGTAAATGACATGAAGCTAATAATCCCATGTAATGATGAGCTCTTGAGAGATTACGTAAGCTAGTAGTTAGAATAAAAAAATTCTTAACTATGCATGATTTATGGAATTAAAATTGCACATATGCAAAAATGACAATAAAAGAAAACTAACAAGGAAGACTATTATTCCCAAAATTCTGAGTCTTTTTTTATCCAGTGTTTCTTTTTTAACAAGATCTACAAACTATCTCAGCATAAATAGTTTTTAGTGAAATTGAATTAATAAAATTTCTAAACATTCCCAGCAATTCCCAGTTTTCTGTGCAATTTTAATAGTTTTGATAACAAAAACAAATAAGCGATTAAATCTGTACATCTCAGTCACTTACCCTGTGTGAAGTAATACACTTATGAATGTACACATATGAACCACAAGTTTTTCATTATTTACAAAACAAGTTGCACATTCTTACATGTGAAAAACTGTTATATTTTTAAATGATACATTTATATAGTTATAATAAAAGTCATTAATTAACAGTAGGTTTATATATACATGTGATATCCTAAGTAAAAATCTTGCTTACAAGAAAAGTGTCTTGGAATCCACATTCTCCTGAATCTTCACCTTCCGTCATACAAAGTTCATTAAACTTGACAATAGTTTCAGTGAAAGTTTCTTCATCAGAGAAGTGTTTAGTTTGAAAATTTACTACACTAGCTACTAAACAGTGAAGGAGTGTTTTCTGTACCTTACACCTTAACAGCAGATCATTTAGATAGATAGCAAAACTTTTACCACTATCTCTGACAATAGCTACAAGCTCAGAGAAAACTAAAGTAAGAACCTCAATGCAAAGCAATCGAACATTTCGGTTCCCAATAATTTCTTCTGTGGTAAGATGGACTTGAGGCAGGTTAGGATAGTAGCTTCGAATGTAATACAAGCAGACAGAGACAACCACTTCTACAAACATGCTACTACGGTAAGCAGTAGCAGACTCGTTACTTTGGTCCCCATTGAAATTGTTACCAAGAACTGATTTGCGGTGGCGAGCCATTAGATTTTGAAGATGTTGACCCCGGTAGCTCAAAGAGCTACTAATGCTGGTAGTGGCCATGTTACACAAAGCAATTCGAGGGTTTGTTAGTATAACTGCTTTTAAAGAGGATAAGGCATATAGTGTTTTTTTAGAATCATATACTTGACAATATAAAAGCAGATGACTATGAAGAGGGTGGATGGTTACTTCTTGAGACTTGCAAATTCCTTCTTGATCATTCTGCTGTCTACTAATCTCATTTACAACTGTTCCACCAGACTTCTCACTATTTTGGCTGTCATTATCCATAAACACATCATCCAAACCATATTCTGAAGATGATGCTGAACTCTCAGTTGTTTTTTCTTCCTTTTCACCTTCAACAACAGCAGTAACAAGTTCAGAGACAATAGCTGCAACAATTTCATTCACATCTGACTGTTTGCTTTCCATTAATTCAGCTGCTGACCACATCTCACAATCATCAAATGAACTACTTTTTCTTGCAATATATGATGCATCAATTCTTTTAGCATTACTTAAATCTGGGGTACCTGTTGTCTCTCCCATAGCATCACTTGTTAAGGATGTTAAAGACCCAAAAGGATTCACAAATAAAGATATTGGAAGTGAGGCATCTCGCTCATGACAATATGGAAGTTCCAAGTCTTGAATCAATGACTTGGCAGTGATAAACTTTGACCCTCTCTTGTTTTCCATGTTAATAATTGATGTAAGAGCAAGGATTTTCTTTTCTGGGCTGTTCTGCTGAGAAGGTGAAACACACTCATCATTAACATGGTAGATAACATTCCCTCCTTCACTGCTTATAGCATAAATCTTAGTCTCAATACTTCCTTCTTCCTTAGTATTTTGATCTGTGACCCTAAGTTTATGAGAGTGGTGAACATTCACATGCTGAATAGACACTCTGGCAGTGTCAGGATGAAGAAGAATCAGCAAAATGGGTTCAAGGATCCGTGCAATGTCCCCACGTTGTAAAGCATGGTTTAACCAGCCCTGTGCAACAGATTTCTGGGGACCTGTTTCCCTACCTAGACTATCCAAAAGCAGGAACAAGCACCTATACAGATAAAACTTGATATCAGTAGACTGTAAATTCTGTGGATTATAGGCTTAACTTCAAAATCAATTACATTTGAATCTTTCCAATAGTTGAAAAATAGCTTCTTCTAAATTTTCAAGTGTAAAAGGTAGTATCAATCAGTTAAATCTCATGTACTATGCACATTGTTAATTGCTAAAACTGTAGCACAAATATTAAATAGACAATAAAGACTACCCTTACACAGGATTGCAATATATAAAACCCATAAAAGTGTAACCTGCTAATGCAAAGTATCTTGATCAATGGCATCCTGTGGCCAAGAAGCTAAATCAGCTTGAAAATTTGAAATTCATTAGAAAAAAGTACATACTGTATACTCAAAGTAAAGACAGCATTATTCTGCTTCTTTTAAAGATAAAACAAGAAAACTACTACTATCATCACATATTTTATTCTTTAGTTTAATTTAGATATTTTTCCTGGTGAGCAATTACATAGGTTTTTTGGATAATATTCAACTTCAAAAAGTATTTTACAAATACAATAATATACTTAACTTTATTGCTAACAATAATTACCTATCAAAAGCTCTCATCATGCTACTTGGAGTTGATTTTAGTCGAAGATCTCGAGTGAGATGCCACAAAACACAGAACTTTTTCTGAGCTTCTATCTGAACCTAGTAACAAATAGTTTGTACACTGTTCATGGTCTTAATCCACAAAGATTTAATGAGCATTTATTAATTTTCAAAAAAAGAAAACTTTTCACATATAGATATGAAAATCACAGCAATTAGCGAGAATAGTTACATTAATAAATGTTATTTTTAACAACAATGACTCTGTAAATAATATTAATAGATACTATAACTTAGCATTATGGAATCCTGATAAAATATCTAGTGAACAATTACATATGTGTAATCTGTACATTTGTGGAATTATCTAAAAAAGGTCCATTTTTTCATGCTACCTAAAACCTGGTTGTGATTACTGGTGTTATCAGGACCAATTTCACTAACTTTCAGCTGTGTACAAGTAAAATAGGCTAAAAGGACAGAAAGAACTGCCTTTTTGAATATCAATAAATCATAAACAATTTATCTGTAATTATACTAAATATCAGCTATAATTATCTTTGACTGACAGTTACAGTGCATATTTCAAAGCACAAATGTATAAAATTATATTATGAAGCCTTCATTCAGTTTAATTTTTTAAAAGGTTAACAATTTTAAAAAATTCTTTTAAACTTCCTAAAGCTTTGAATCTTTCAAGACAAATAAAATTATTTAGCATTTGCAGAAAATACACTATTCTATCACTAGCCCCTTTTCTTTGTGTCTAGTTACAACTGGTGGTATTAACAAAAAATATTTGAAGGGAATATTTCATTCTTAGTTACCAACAATAAGGCACATCAATAACAAATATTATTGGTATTATTGGTGCAGTTCAATTGTCATAAATGTAATAGAATTTTTGATGAATATCAGAATTTTTATTCTGACATTTTCATAATTACGACTTTGTTGTGATAAGAATTTTTTTTTATTTGGCAATAGTAATGTTATTATGCAAATAGAAACATTCTGTGCAACACTTGTTAATTTTCAATATTAAAATGTTCACAAAATTTTCTTGTAATTATGGTTTTAAAAGACAGAAAAATTTCTGAATGCAACTCTCCTTCCTGTAAATATTTTGAAGTCTGAAACAATAAATATCTAATTTTATACACCACTATTGACTGGTATCTGTTTGATGCTTATTCAAGATAAAATGGGGGAATAACTTATAAAACTATATATAATATGCACCTGTTCCTTTTCATCAACTAAGGCTCTACACATCACAATTTCACAGATATCCCCAGTTGGTGCCAGGTTGTGTAGCTGCTGTAACAAGTGAACAGTTCGGAGATGAAGTCTTGAACTACTTGCAGCCAAGAAATGCCACAGTTTGGCAGTAGCTACTTGATAAAACACTGTTTCTTCTCCCAAGAACTGCAGATTTGACTTTGGAATGGTTGGTACAATAACTACTGAAACAACACCTGATGACGATGAAGTCTGGAGTGCTGAGGAGGTGGATAGTGACTCAGGATCAGTCTGAATGGTCATTGACTTGGTCAGAGCTATCAGATCAAGTGCTGTCATCATAGAAGTGAAAAGGAAATTCTCTTCATTCAAAAAACAGGCTAGAACCAATAGCAGCTGTAGCCACTCTGGTAGTGAAGTGTCATTATCTGTGAAATAAACAGTTAATTTTCTGACAATTAGAGTATATACAGTACTTTTTTTTTAACATAATAGCTTTGAGGATTTTGCTCATACACTTTCACCTTTCCACAAACATGCACTTATCCAACCTATCTAACAGAATTTCTAATACTTGCTTCTTAACACAAATATCACTAAAATATATTTCAATTAAAGACAAAATGACAAACAACTGCCACAAAAAAGTTTAATGAAAGTACCTTACATGTATAAATCAATCTTTTTATCATTTTTTTGTACATAAAAAATTATATAATGATAACATGTTCTCACCTTCCTAGAAAAACTTCTTTCTAGTGTTGGCTGAAATTGATCTAGGTGACTGATGTACTGATATGTTATCCAAGTAAATTCTGTATAAATATATTTGTGACTGAACAAGAAATAATCTTTGAATACTTATATTTGATCTTACTTACTGGTATGACACTATATCCTCATGATGATCATTAACCCAGACATTACTAATCTTACCCAAATTCGTTTCCAACATCTCCCATTTATTTAAGTTGACCATAAAAACAAGAAAGGGTATAGACTTTCAGACATTATCCGTATGGGTAAGTGTGAGCTTTATGTCGGGGTGTTGATTATTATTAATGAATTCAAATAATTCCAAAAAAGAAGGGAGCCCATAATTTAATATTCCAGAAATGTCATCAATATACCTGTAACACCTAGCTGGTTCAAGATTAGTTTCAAATTTCCACTGAGTAAAATCTGATGATTCAAATAAGTGCATAAAAACAGAAGTCAAATATTGGCAGCAATATTGTTGCCCCTAGTGATCCATTTGGTTTAGTTATAGAGAGCTGAACTGAATTAAAAACAATTGTTGTTCTGAAAACATTTGAGAGAATTTTTGATGAGTTCTATAGGGGTATCATTGATAGTAGAAGAGATACTTGATCTGATAAGATCCATAACCAAGCTTATACTTTCTTCTATGGGAATAGAAGGACATATAGAGATGATATCAAGAGTAAACAAGATAGTGTTAAAACTCATCTGTAAACCATCTTCACTGAACCTGTTGAGAGTCATCAGTGCTATTTATGTGTGAAGGGATATATAGATATATTTTTTAGACAAGAAGTTGATTCACGATTGTTAGGATTAAGAGCTATCGAGTGGAGAGTGCAAGGTCTTTAGATGAATTAGGGTTAGCACTTTGAACTGAAAAAGTCTGTGATTTTTTATATTCTTTTGCATTTAAATTAGTAGTTTTAAGTTCAATAATTTAGTGTCATTTTATATTTAGTTCATAATAACAATAATAATTTGATTCAGTATTTAGAATGATAAACTTGTATGATTTGTATTTAATACTACTAGTACCAGTACCACAAAAGAATTATATATTTTTCCTTCTTACAAGCTTTACTTTGTAGTAAGACCCACACTTCTGTTGTTGTTGCTTTAAAATTAAAACTATCTAACTGGTATATATATAAAGTTTATTCTGATATTTTGCAAATGGTTTAAAACTAAGTGTACAAGTGACAACAATAAAACCCATATGTTGGTTGTGAAACAGGCTAAAAACATTTGTCTCAATAATACAGGGGAAGATATGTCATTCTCATAGTCGGGGTTTCAATACACTTAGGAGCTTAAGTTTCAAATTACAACATACATCTTGCCTATAATGAGAGGAATGTTACCAGGACTAATCTTTTAAGTGCTGTAAAATAATTTTCTTTGTAATTTATGGTGTCTGTATCGTTTGGTAATCGCTTCTAACAGGATGTATCAAGTAACTAGGATCAGGCGATGTTATTCAAACCACCTGTGCTGTAAACTATTACATACATTCATTAGTAGTAGCAGTTAGTTTTATCTGTATAGTGAAACAACATACACGTACATATTTTAAAAGTTTGAAAGTTCAGAGAAATGATATTCAAGTACCGAAAAGCTTTCTTACTATCATATCTACAGCAATGTTGAAATATGCCTGCAATGGACTAAATGAGCGTGACCACCAACAGGCATGATAGTTTATGGCAAATGTACAAAGTTCATGCTGCTAACCTCACAAACTATTCGGCACAATAAACAAAAGTACGGCTGCAATGAAACATAAACTTGAAATAAAAATTCATTTATGAAACAAAATTAAAAATGTTTTTATGTACATATATAAACATGAAATCCTAGTTAAAAATAAAAATACTCATTTATTGTTTAGGTTCACTTACAAATATTATTTTTGGGTTTTGTATATTACTTGAAACCATAAGGAGAGTATGTGATTATAAAAAAATTTAAAATAGATAAAATTTGCATTTCATGGATGATAAAAAAATTTTGGGATTTTAAAACAATGTACTAAGACATAAAAAGTAATACGTTCAAGTCTGGAACAAATAAAAACATCGAAATCATTTCTTATAAATACCATTTCCTAATGTAATTTTCCAAGATATTAAAGATCATAATGCAAAAAAACTAAACTTATCAAAAGTAACAGGCTTTATGTTTCTTAAACTACATGCATTTATCAAAGTTCTTGTGAAGTTTCAAACAATTCCATCCACTAGTTTTATTGTTGGAATGAAATATAGCAAGACTTGCATTGACTACTCAGAAAGTTAGTAGCCCGTGGTCATCGGGTTAAAGGACATATATCATTACTAACCAAACAAAGTTAACAGAGTATGAAGACAGTAATGCTAGAGTAGAAAACAAGTTTAATAAATTAGCACTAATGACTGAGAAAAAATAATGTCTGTTAGTAATTCTGATGACCATAATTTGAATGCTAGGATTATAATCCCAGGTAATCTAAAACTTTCCAAGAACTGCATTTCCATCCTTTCTAAAAGTCCTAGTTTTGATATATTGGGTCAACTTACAAAGAAGTAACTCTTGATGCCCATTCATCTTTTCACCAATACTTCTACAAATTAAGATTTCATAAAAAATATTCTCCAATATAGACATATCTATGCCCAATAACAATGTGGATGAATCACAATTTGACCTTTCTCCTGCACCTTTTGATAAACCCACAACTCCAGACAGGTTAATATATTTAAACGCTTAACACATCGGTACATCAATTTGATGCACCTTAGCCCTATCACCATGGGTATCCTTTACTGCACATGACAAGGTTTTAGTGTCTTACATTCAAAATTTTATTACACTACTCTTTGCTTATGTTATACCAATTAGAATAGCATAAAATCTTAGCTAATAATCCATATTTTAATAGTATATAAGTTTTAAGTTCTTAATTCTACAAGGCAATATTTAAAAAAACCCTGAATTTCCCCTGGTGTGATACATTTGCTCTTAACATGTCATCTTCCCTATTTTATCCACCACCCCTCGAAAAAGTGCGATATTAAACATAAATTACTCTCTATAAAATTATCATTGCTCAGACAAGACATAATTTTTATAGTCTTCATTTTCTTTTTCAGAATTCGTTAATAGTTCTCTC